ATTTAAAAACTCCCGGCTGCACCATTTAAAAATTGTGTCTCCTTTGATAAACCTACCAGATGATACATCTGTTGCAGAAATCCTTCCTTCAATGGAGCTTCATTTTCCTGATCCTTTTGGGTAGATAGTTTTTCTTTGGAAACACAAACTGTTTGTATAATATAGGCGATAAAATACTTTTAAAAAATGGAACCAAAAATGTCCATAGATTTGTATATTAAATCAATTGGATTTATTAGGCCGAGATAACACAGCGGCCAGTTCAAGGAAGGACAGTGTTCAAAGCTATTGGATAACATTGAAACATTAGACAATATTCTCAAATCCAATTTTGAAGTTGTACCAGATGAATTGATAAAACTTATGAGTGCAATAAAAGCACTAAATAATGTGTAAAGAAAATTTGATTCGGTCTAAGTTCGGACATTTCTTACAAGAATCACATTAATTCCTACAAGGAAGCATATATGGCATTGAACGAAAAAGTATCCCCAAAAGTACATGCTCTAGTCATTCATATACCAGCTTTTTTAGAATCAATGGCTGATAAATAAAATGGAAAAGGTCTTTGTTTTTGGTCAGAACAGGTTTCTAAAACTGTTCATTATGACTTCAAACAGTTTTATGAGCAAGGATACAAAGTTCCAAGCAGTCACATATTGTACCAATCATAACTGCTGAGATCGGTTATTGTTTATAATAGTAGAAAAACACATTTCAAGATTTAAATTTAAAGGAGATTTTTTTACTTTTAGAAGACTTTGCACAATAAGTTAGTTGCCATAATTTATATGAGAACATGTAAATTATCAACAAACAAAACAATAAATTCATGATCGAATAAATTACTTAATAGATATACAAGGAAAAATACTGGCTTTTTGGTTTACAATAATGTCTTTTTTTTCTTGGACCTTGAAATTTTATTTCAAAGGTGTTATTTTCAGAAAGTAGATGTCATTACGGATCCAAAAAAGTATCACATGACCCTAGGATTTTTTTTATGGTTTGAACCTACTTCCACCGTGGTATGGCCACTAGAGTACGTCATACTAAAAATATTTTAAAAATTACATTTGTGGAGTGATTTTATTATGGGTTGGGGTAAGCTAAGCAATATTCAAACAAAAAAAACTTTTTTTTTTTGTGTAAAAATTAACTTGAAAAATGTAAAAAAGCACTAAAAAATGCATTTTTACGACAAAAAATTAACAAAACTTTACTAACGTATATTAAAATTTTTATTATCCAATTTTTAACAAGTCCATTTGTAGTTGTAATCTATAAATTATAGAACACAGTTACTTTGTACTTGTTATTTGCTTTGCGTTAGTAGTGAATTTAATTGTGTAGATTTCAATATTAAATATTCGCAATATTTGTTCATTTTACTTGTGATTTTTTATTATAACTGTTTTTGTAATTTTTTACTTGTGATTTTTTATTATAACTGTTTTACAGTAAAAAAAAAAAATAGAATATTGTGTTATAGAGAGTTTAAAATTGACTAGACATTCTTCTACAACTGATTTAACTAAGTATCTTGGAGTAGGAAAAGATTGGTTGGAAACTGAAGTTCTTACACTGAGAGATGTACTAAGGAAAAGTCTACTTATTCAGAAAAGTTTGCTTCTTTCTGATGATCTTGATAGGTGAGTTTTTTGAAATGATATTGAAAAGTGAATTTCTAATAAACTTTTAGTAGGCACAGGACGTCCAATAACATTCATAAAATATCCATCTGGGCGTCTTAGGACATTTAAAGAACGTCCAAGTATTAGTTTAAGTTTAAGTATTTCAAAGAATGTTAAAACAGTTTAAATTTTATATTTTTTGTTGGAGATGTCACCTACCTGTAAAAGAAATCTCGGTGGCATTGGCAGACTTGGTATTGAAACAATGGTCTCAATCCAAGCTTAGTTTAAGACCCCTGTTGTCATATCTCAAAAAACGCTGTCAGTTAAAATTTTAACTGCCTGGCATAAGTTTAGAGACATTTCTAATCAAAAAGAAACAAAAGAAAAAACTGACAAATTGTGGGAAGGTAAGCTGGACAAATTGTTAGATATAACGAAATGTAGGTGTAACATATTACTTTGTACAGATGAATATTCTCCTTGAAGGAGGTTAAAATTTGTTCTGCAGGAGTACATATTTTTTGCATTTGTTTTAAAGCTATCAAGTTGCCACAACTTGATTTATTATGGCTTTGATCTCAAAGAGATAGGGTTGGTGAAAAATCAGGCTACCAAATATATCAACTAGACAAAGAAGAAACAGAAAGACAGGTTAAAGCAGTGAAACGTAAAATAATAGATATTGCATCTTTAGAAAAAAGACTAAATTTAATTAAAAAACCTCATATTAAAACACAGGTTCAAATTAAAAACATCAAAGACAAAGTTTATGAATCAGTGGGGCATGACTTAAATCAAGAAACCTCACTGAAAAAATTAAAAATGTAAATGAAGAATCCTCAGAAGACAGCTCCAATAATATAAATCAAAAAACTTCCCCAATTATTAACACTAAACATAATTATATGAAGATCCCTAATACAGCACTAGCATCTTTTCGATTTGACATATCTTTTGCTGCTACATCTGCAATTGTATCCGCTTTCCTTCAAGATTTGATCAAATCAAATTACTTGACTCCAAAAATGGCTAGTTTAGCATGTGATCCTAAAAAAATTTGAAGAGCCAAGCAAGAGGTTATGGCCAAAACTAGAGTTTTGTCAAAAAAACTCATTATTGAAGCTCCTATCAAAGGTATATTTGTAGATGGAAGAAACTCATTATTGAAGCTCCTATCAAAGGTATATTTGTAGATGGAAGAAACTCATTATTGAAGCTCCTATCAAAGGTAAATTTGTAGATGGAAGAAAAGATCCTACTCTAATTTTGATTGAAGATTCAATTACTAAAACGTTTTGTTGAAGAATAGAAAAGCAAGAAAACATAAGTGTTACTTCTGAACCAGATGGAAGCTATTTGACTCATTACACACCTTCAAAGGGTCCAAACAAACCAGCTAAAGAAGCTGCAATCGGTCTTTATAACTGGATGGTTCCTAGAGGAATTAATCAAACTATAGTTGTGATTGGATCAAATTTTACAAATTCAATGACTGAATCTGGTAACAATGGCGAATTATCAACTCACCTCGAGAAACTTATTGGAAGAAAATGTTTTTGTCAATTTGCATGTTACATTCCAATGAGCTACCTTTAATACACCTTATTGCAAACCTTGATGGACCTACAAACTCCAAGGATGGATTTAAAGGACCTATAGGCAAACTATTATCTAAAGTAAATCAATTAAAACAACTAGAAAAGTTTGAACCAATTAGACAAATTGAACCTTAGATTAAAATTCCGGATGATATTTTAAAGAATATGTCAACCGACGCTTCACTAAGCTACAAGTTAGTTTCTTGTCTTGAATCAGGTATCTTGAATCTTTCACTTGTCAACAGAAAATGTGGCAATCTTTGCCATAGCAGGTGGCTCACAACTGGTCAGGCAATTCTTTGGCTTTACATTAGTGAACATGGCTTAGAAGGTGATACTTTAAAAATCTAAAAGTTCTTTCTCAGTTTGTGGCTCAAGTATACTTTCATATGTGATTTAGAATCAAGGTAAAGCACTTGATTGTTGATGGGCCCCATCATCTAATCAAACTTCTTTATCTATTAAGAAGTCAAACTGTCGAAGTTATGAATGCTGTTAGTAAGTCTGTTCAAATTGGGGCATTTCATGCTCATTCTGAGTCTCTTTTTATTTCTCTTCTTGCAAGCTCATCAATTGAAAAAAGAGCTTTTGCAGTCAAGATGATTATGAAAGTTAGGGGAGATTTAGAGCAACGTAATGTAAGTGTAAGAAACCGAAAAAAATCTACACTGAACTTTGATGCTGTGACTCTCCTTGAACTTATTGACTGGAGTAACGAACAAATCTTGGAGCCAAATTTTACATCTAATATGACAAAAAAAAGATTTACAAAAAAAATAGATTCTCCTATGGAAGTACCTTACTATCCTTTCCACACCCAGTCTTGTGAAAGAGTTGCTAAACAAGTGACTCAAGCAGCAGCTGCTGTTTGTGGTTTTCAGAGTCGTGATGGTTTTATTAGAGCAAGAATAGACCACAGAGATGTTGTTCCAAATCTGAAATCCAAGAAAGATTTAATCAAATTTTTTAGTTGATGTTCAAGCTTGATTTTAAAGAAAATTTAATTTCCCATAAAAACATATTGACATAAGCATAAAGATAAACTTAAGCATAAAGATGACATAAGCATAAAGATAAACTTTATTTCAATGTTGCTTAAAAATACATACCACACAATAAAATCACTCCCATATTGTTTTTTTTTAATTTAAAATTTTTTAAAAGTATGACGTACCCTAGTGGCCACACAAAAAAATAAAAAATAAACAGTAATGACAGGCCACACAAAAAAATATCATGTTTGTTATAAAAAATATCGTTTTGTAACTGACCAACAATAGCCTTATTTTCAACAGTCAAGTGACCAAAATATGCCATATTAAAATAGTCATTTTAACATGGCATATTTTTATCACGTGAACGTTGAAAATAATAATTGATTTTTTTAAAACAAGCCATATCTCAAGCAATAAAAAAAAACAACGTCTTATATATGAAATTCTGACAATTAGTTTTTTATTTTATAGAGTTTAAATTAAATACAGTTTCAATTTTTTAGTTTAAACGCACTCTTACGGCTGTTATTAACAACACTATTATTAACAACTTAGGTTGCAAGTTTTTTTCCGTTCATTATCGTAAGTTTTTTTAATGTCATCATTTGTTTTTGTATGCCCCAGTTAATGTTTTAAAAATTATCGTTCATTTTTGAGTTTTTAAATTATTACAATTTAAAATTTTTAACTTGAAGCACAATATTTTCATGAAAGTCCTTTTAAAATCAAACAATTCAAAAATTATTTTTTTCATTATTTTAATTATACATATTACAATTACATATTTACATTTGAATTAAAACTTACCGTTTTCGGTATACATTTATATGTAATATTACCAATATAATATATAAATGTATACCGAAAACGACAATTCATGATGTATCATGAATAATCAACGTCGCTGCCATCATAAATATTTTCTTCAGACTTGGATTTGTTTAAAGGAACATTAGAATTGTAAGATTTCAAATTGCCATATTTTTCTTGAAACTCTTTTTCGGTAACTGACTCAATGCTTCTGTTGTAGAAATCCTTTTGAGACAAGGTCTTGTCCTCTTGAGTGATTTCGGTTAGACCTTTTTTATGGGTTTTCAGTTCAGGAATTGTGTACTCATTAAATACATTCTCTTCATTATATCCACCATACGTAATACCTTTATTATAAATTTTTAAAACGTTATAAAGTCTTCTATTTCATCAAAATGATCAAGGATAACCTCGGTTTTTTACTTAAAATTTTACATTTTAATTTTGAAAAAACATTTTATGTTTTATAAACATTAATTTTATTTATAAAGTTAGTATATTTTTTTTTAAAAACATTAAAATAACAAATTTGTTTATGATTTGATTTAGAAAACGAAAAGAAATTTAATTTCTTCCTTTTTATGTAAACAAATTAAAAATAATATTCATTTTCTTAATTACCTGATAAAGTTGTATAAAATGATCGTTGTGACCCTAAAAAAATATTAAATTTAAAAATTAAATTTATTAAAATTTCTAAATATTTATTATTATGCTTTTGTTTTTCTATTTTAATTTTCTATTTCTAATAATAAAAAAACAACATTTTTTTATTTATTTTTATATAATATTATATTCTAAAAAGAATTTTCATATGGAAATTTATTTGAAATATTTAGGGATTTATTAAATATATTCGATGCAATAAATTAATAATGACGTTATTTAACCCTTACTTTGATCCCGAGTGGCTAATAATTCACTCATTGTTGGTCGAAGATTATTTTGATTCTCAATGTTATAAGTATTTTTGTTGACATTTCCTAAAAAATAAAAGCAACGATTGTATCATTTATAATATATAATTGAGTAATTTAAAAAATTATATTTATAACAAAATCCATAATTAACAAAATTTATAATTAAGTTTCTCATCATAAGATATTACACCAAAATCATCAAACCTATGTTTTGTCTTAATTGTTATTTTGTCTTAATTAATTGTTATTAATGATACAATTCAATGATGTTAATAATAACCTCTGGCGAGGTGTTAACTCACTCGCAAATTGCTTCCAGAGTAGTACATTAATAAGGTAATCTAATTAATAGTACTAATTGCATATTCTTACATCAGTGAAATATCTGACCGCTTTCTCTGTTCTATCTTTCAAACTCGACTTCTTTTGATTTTCACTCTAATATCCTTTGCTCTTCTTAAAATCACTTACCCTTGGTCTGCGAAGCGGGTTATGATGCTCATTATGGAGCTAAAGTCGTCTTCGCAGGCCTGGGTATGTGGCCTCTATATGGCAATTGGCTGGAGGAGGATAAAACACAATACCCAATGATGTTAATAATGATTTGTTATTATGTGAATAAATAAAAAATAAAATTCTCTACATTTCCAGTTTGCACAAACATACTATTAAATAGAAATATAATTAAACCTATGTTAAGTATGATACTTAGTGAGTCGATATGATGATGTGAATAAAGCGATGCAATAATGTGAATAGTTTAGGGGTCGTCCATAAAGTACGTGCGCTTTTTTTGAGCCCCCTCCCTTTATCCCGCAATTTGCCATACGCTTTTTTGAGTACTCTCTACCTCCCTAAACTAGCAACGCTTTTAACCTACTAACCCAACATTTTATGATTTTAATTTAGTGTCTTCATATTTTAATTTAGTGTCTTCATACTTTTAACATTGATCTGCTGCCCCCTTATCTCAGAAACGCCATTTGCAGACCTCCTCTTTCTCTCCGAGCGTACTTACTTTATGGACGATCCCTTACTCAAGCATAAATTATATAATTTTGACTCAAACATAAGATTTCACTCAAACATAAAATTACAAAAAAAAATTAAATAATGTATCCTAAATTGTTTTTAAAATCCCCTTTCCTGACTCACACCTACTCTTTAAACAACTCTAATTAAAAAGATAAAAAATTACCTAAATCCTCGGTTCTTTTAGAAGTAATAATTCCCCAATGAAAAGCAGTTTTGAATATTTGCTCAGGTGACAATTTGTTTAAGTTTTCAATCAAATGTATCTCATTTTCACGACTTAATGGAAAAACCTTTTTTGCGACTTCTTGTATAACCTTTCTATATGATAAAAAATTAAACAATTCATCCTAAATTAAGATTTTCTAATGTTTATTGAAACAAAAAAATTTAAAAGAAAAAAAATTACTGTCGGATCTCATTTTTTCTCTGTTGTATTTGAGGTGGTGTTTGTTCTTCTATTTTTTTAAGAAGAATTCTTCTTTCGTTGACGTCTTTTACTTGGTCATCCACAATGTCAAAAACCTTCCTCATGGATTCTTCATCTCGATCATCTTTTATTGTAAAAAGATCTTGCGAAATACCTTTGGGTTCTATAAAAAAAAACATTACAATAAAGTCAAATGAAATGAAGAGTATCAACAAACGATATTGATAAATTAATTTAAAAAACTATTTGCATATCAGTTTGTTTTTTTTAATTATACTTGAATCGATTCTTCAGCTTGCATATATTTATATTTCCCAGTGGGCACGCGTCGTCCGGTGGACGTCCGCTGGACGTCTCATAGACGTCCAAACGTCCGTAAGATGTCCGGTGGACGCCCTCTAGACAACGCATACCCACTGGGTTATAAAGCTTTTTATAGTTTTTAAAGTTTTCTGCTTTTTATTTTCTATAAAGTTATGAAACGTTTCTTTTATCTTGAGGTCAAAATAACTTTATTATTTATTTGTTAAAGGTCACAAAACAATTCATTAGGTTGCTTTGCCGAAACAGTTCATGGTCATTTCATAACCGACATCATAAAAAATGAACTTTATTTCTACAATACTGAGTTTTTTAAAGTAATAAACGATCATAATAGTAATAACTAAAATAATATTAGTTATAAAAATAATAACAATAATAACAACAATAATAATAATAGCAATAATAATAATAATAATATTAATAAAAGTTTTTAACTTTAAAAATATTTAAACAAAATTTCAAAAAGATAAACAACGAACAATTCTGCTTAAATAAGTTTAACTAAGAAAGCAATTTTCTCGATAACAAATGGTCACACTGTCGAAATTTTAGAATATTATGAAAATTTACCCTGAACTTGGTTGTTTAATAATTCTTTCATCGCTGGTGCTAAAATAAAAAAGATTGAAACTGTATATATACACAGACACACCCATACACACATATAGAATCTTCATATGAGTTATCATATCGTTTTGTATATAGGTGAAAAAGTTTCAAATAAATTATCGTATCGGGCTGCATATATAAAAAAACGAAATTATTTCTTAATACGATATATATCAACTATCTTTTATTTCATTAAGAATAAAAGTTTTTTTTAGTAAAATAAAAATTGTTATGGTTAAAACAAAAATAGTTTACCTAAATTCGTAGTTTTTGTAGAAGTAATAATTCCCCAATCAAGGGCAGTTTTAAAAATTTTTTCTGATGGCAATCTTATTAAATTTTCTGCCATTTGAAAGGCATTTCGAGGACTTTTCGGAAACATTTTATTTGCAACTTCTTGTACAACATTTCTAAATGATGAAAAAATAGATAACTTTGAAAACGATCATAATAAAATAAGACTTTCTAATGTGAATAAATATGTCTAAATGAAAAAACTTAATAAAAAGTTTTTTAAAGTTACTTTAGGATCTCAGCTTTTCTTTGCTTCAACTGAGGCGATGTTTGTTCTTCTATTTTTTTTAAAAGATTTTTTTTTTCTTCAACATCGTTAACTTGATCATCCACAATGTCAAACACTTTCTTCATTGACTCTTCATCTCGATCATCTTTTATTATAAGAAGATCTTGCAAAACAAAAGGTGTTTCTAAAGAAAGAAACCATTAATGAAAAAATTTAGAAAATGAAATAGGAACAAAAAGTTAATCAATAAAGAGCTACAAGTTTAACACTGCTTCATAAATATGCAGAATCATGTTGCTTACCTTTTTTTAGTGCCAGCCATATTTGAATAAAAAAAGTTATACAGGTAATTAACTTTTTTGCAAATATAATAATTATTTTAAGAAGCAATTTTTGATATTACGCAACGTATGCGGTCAAAGAATCTGAATAACATTAAAACAAACAACGACGAGTTAGATGTATCAATGAACATGTAGGAGATGTATGAATAAGAGAAACAACCAGTTAGATGTATGAATGAGTTGTGAAAATAATAATCTATTTTGCGGGGAAGAGATCTAAGTAATTTTTTTCTTTACCATCTTGGGTGGTGATAATTAACCATATAATTGTGCATAGTTCAAACTTCTGACAAGCTTTCAAAATGAAGCATTTTTATTTTTCTCACTTACAATAATTTTTCAACCTTTACTTGAGCATTCTCAAAATGTTGATGTTGTTACCTAGGCTCTTTGACCGGGGGTTCTCAAATTTTTAAGCAAACTGGAATTTTTGTTTTAAATTGTTTTTAAATATACAGTTACCATTTTTGATAAATTTGAGTAATAAATAATTTTTTTTTAAATACAGATTTTTTACAAACTTACAATTACCTGTCAGGATTGATTGTTTTTGGTTCAAAGTTTGATCAGTATTTTCCGTAATTTGTTGAATTTGATTGACAGGTGTTCCCTCATCATTAGGTTTTTCCTCATCATTAGGTTTTCCTTCATCATAGATTGATTTTTTTCCGTTATTAAAGATTACTCCTTTGCTCTCGTCATTTCGCATCTATCAGTAAATAAAAAAGGTTGGTAAAAATTTAATTACTATTAATTTATCCTTTAATGTATTGAAACTACGCCCCCTATAATTAATGGAGAAAATGAGGATGCATTTTAATTCTTTCCATATTGCAAATCCATACCATATATTACATTAAGTAAAATGTGCTAGAAGTTATTTACAGATGCGTGTAAGGCAAAACTGGATTCTATGTATGATAAGGTAAAATTTATAATCAAATATACAACACTAACTAGATAATATTGTTAAAGATCTCAAAGACTTTGTTGTTGGATTAATTTATAGGAGAATAAAAGATGAAACAATGCAAATTTTAAAATTATTAAACGAAGACTCTCTCTCTCTCTCTCTCTCTCTCTCTCTCTCTCTCTCTCTCTCTCTCTCTATATATATATATATATATATATATATATATATATATATATATATATATATATATATATATATATATATATATATATATATATATATATATATATATATATATATATATATATATATATATATATATATATATATATATATATATATATATATATATATATATATATATATATATAGTTGTATTTTATAATTATAAAATGAGGTTTACCTTATAATCGATTGGCAAACTTGATACATAAAAAAACACAATAAAAACGCACTGTATTCTTAAGAATATCATTTTCGAAATAATTTAGTCTTATAAAATAATTTAAATCTGCAATACAAATCTGACGTCATATAAAAATAATCTATTATGTAAATTATATATGCTCGATTGTTTTGAAGTTTTTGATACTGTTCCAACGCAACATATACTAAATGTAAAAAAAAGCGCTTCTGAAAAAAAAAATCACAATTAATGGTGAAAATCATTGAACAAACTTTTCATACCGTTTACTCATTACCGTTTTTAGTTTATGTTGAGATTTTTATTTCAGTTAAATTAACTAATAAATATTTATTAATAAAATTAACAAATAAAAATTAACAAATAAACTAATTAAATTAAATATTTTATTTCATAGATACTATTTTCAATAAAAATAGTTCTCAACTATGCTCAGTGGTTCGTTTGGTATTTTTATTTCATAGTCTATACTGTATCTTACAAACGATAAAATTATGGTCACGATAAGTGTGTATAAAATTTGTAAAATATGACTTTTCAAAAGTTAACCCTAATTGGTTGTTCAGATATAACCTGAGGCCGTATTCTTATCTCTCCGCTAAGCTTAACTTGAGCCTAAGTCGAAAATTTCTTGTCAACAACATCAATAAAAAAATTCTTTAGAAATTTTTTAAACATAAAAGTTTTATTTTAGCACTAGTTTTATTTAATTAAACTTAAAGTTTTTTTTCATTCCTTTTACTTAGAAATATTGTTATGAGGTTTCAGATAAAAGCTCCGTCAAGACGGAAAGAAGGGAATACGGCTGCAAGTTGTATATATTGCAGCTTGCATATATATTTGCAGGTTGTATATATTGCATATTGCAGGTTGTATAATAGTAATTACGGTTGAAGGTTGTATCTTTCAGCGATACAATATGATTTTGTAAGAATAACCAATGAGTATTAACGACAGCAAGTATAATTAAAGTAGGTGAGAGTTGTCTTAATTGGAAAAGCACTTTAACTGGAACACTTGCATTTATTGTTGAAAAAAAAAATGAGTTATGGCTACATTTTGCATTTTTCTAGTAAAACGTCTTCTTTTCTACGCTTTGACAAAAATTGAAAGGTATGCCTCAAATAATGCATGTGCACCATTGATTTGAAGCTTTTTGCCTTTTTTTTTTGGTGATCTAATTTTGTGTTCACACTATATTGATTGCGCTGGGTAAACTATACTGCTATAGGTTGTACGGTTTTTTGTGTTTAATGCGATGGGATTTAAAATGCAAATAACAGTATCAATTTATTTTGTAAGTTGTTGGAAGCATGATACTTCAGTGATATAACAAAATAGCCCGAAGTTTCATTACTTGGAACTACAAGGTTTTTCTTACTTAATCAGTAATAAAACTAAAGGGTTGTAGAAATATTTCAGGCGCAATTTAAAAATACTTAGTAACAACCATAAACTTTAAATATAATACTTTATTTAGTGATTTTTAATCAATAAATTAAAAGAACATCATAACAGTTGAAACTTTTATACAATTTTTTGTCTGTAGAATTTCAATTTGCCAGGATAATTTTAATCCTATTATAAGTTTTTAACGAACTTTTTAAATTTTCATTGTAAAATTAAAGATAAAAATTATTTTTATTCAGTTTTTGATGATTTTACCGGGTTTTTTTTAAAGCAAACAACCTGTTCTGATTAAGGAATCAATGTGTTCCAATTTAGGGAACCAGTTGCTTTGATTTGAACAAAATGGTATCTTTGCAAAAACAGATTTATTTTCAATAATAGTACAATCAATTATGAATTTATGGTTAAAAGTATAGTAGGGTTGTCTATATGTTTTATTCAAACCATGAATGTTTTCATAGTTAAGCCATCCTTGGTTAATAAATATTTATTCCTTAAGTGTTTTAATTAAGGCAACTCTCCCCTAATAATGATAGCGGTGGTGCTCTGTAATAAGTTTGTAACAACCTTTTGGAGAACTTAAATAAGTAAATAAATAAAAATAAAGCCAACCAAGTTAAGTTGTCAGTAATTAACTTTTTATTTTTAATTTTTTTTTTTTTTTTTTTTAATTTTTTGGAGATCATCAAACAAAGGTAGAATATACCAATACTAATTCCAAAATTGTTTACTTAACTGTGCATTGCAAAATAGTATTTTACAGAATGTGTTTTGCATCCCTGGCAACACTTACTAACAACTATATCTTAAATTTTGAATAATTTTTGTATGACGTCAAATAATCTCAGATATTTGTTTGTACTTTTCTGATAATCTATCACAATTTTTATTAAACAAAATGCACTTCTTGACAAAAATGTTGCTTTTTGTATTTCTCAGCCAACTTTTTAACGAAAAGTTTTGCTTGCCAGTTAATTATGAGGTATTTGTTTTATTTTTTTTTCGTTATGTAATATTTTAATAAACTTATCATTTTAATATCCTTCTCAAAACGTAAAAATGCACAAAGTTTGTTTTAATTACTACATTAAAAAAATAATAAAGATGATAATTTTAAAAAGTTACAAAAATAAGTAAAAATAAAAACAAGTTATCCAAATAAAGATCGAAAGATTCTTTTTGTTAGAAACTGAAATTACCTGAACAATTTTGTAAAGGAGTCTCCTTTCATTTCAATTTAGTTGATAATGGGTTGATAATGGGTTGATAATGGGTTGATAATGGGTTGATAATGGGTTGAGACATTTTTTTTTAAATCAGCTTTAGTAAGTAAGTTAAACTCATTTTGTTTTACCATTACTTAAGATATATTCATTACTTTTAGATTATCTGTTAGATATTTCTAAATTCTTTGTTCATTAATTTAAAGAGTTTGAAGGTAATTTATATTAGAGAGACTAAAGGTAATTTATATTGAAGAGACATCTAGCCCCCGATGGCTATATTTTAGCTTTTGTGCATTGTATATTTAAAAATGATTTTTTTTCTGGTGAAACTATTCCATCTAAAAAAGATAACCCTATTGGTGTAGTAAGACGTAGTTGGAATTGCATATTGGTAATTGACTTTATATTAATAATAAGTAAAATGTAAAAGACTTGAATGAACTGTTTAAAATAAAATTTCATTATCTTAATGTTGATAAGATTGCTTTGGGACTAAAATTGGAAGCTAAAAGTTATAACTTAAGAGTCATATAAAAGGCGTTGCAATATTTTTTTTATATGGCTGTTTATATATCGTAGTAATATAAACAAAAAATAGTTTTAAGTTTACCAATATCAAATTTGTAAGTTTACCAACACCAAAAAGTGTTAAATCTTCGCGGTTTTCTTCTTTAGGTACTATATACTTGTTTGGTTACCTTAAAAAAAAAATTGCAATGATTATTATATCAAAACCTATGTTATAAATTTGTTATTAATAAAGTGTTTTAATATATATATATATATATATATATATATATATATATATATATATATATATATATATATATATATATATATATATGTATATATATATATATATACATATGTATGTATATATATATTTATTTATATATATGTATATATATATATATATATATATAAACATTTATATATATATATATATATATATATATATATATATATATATATATATATATATATATATATATATATATATATATATATATCAGTGGTGGATTAAGAATTCTTGGGGCCTGGGACTATTTTTGTTTTTGGAGGTCTTTTTATGGGCCAGAGCCTAAAACTGACTAAAAAAAAAGCTAGCCCCTAGCTGCCCCCCCTTGATTCAGCACTGATTATATATATATATATATATATATATATATATATATATATATATATATATATATATATATATATATATATATATATATATATATATATATATATATATATATATATATGATATATATGATACTGATATATATATACCAAGAAAAAATAAAATGATCACTTGTTTTTTTCAAGAGTATTTTTGAAAACTGTTTGCTGTTGCTTTGCATTCCAACATTGATCTGCCTGTACCAGAATTTGATGAGCATCTTCCGGAATTATATTTTCTGAAATTTTATTTTTAATCATTATTTTAACCTGAAATAAGTTTTTTATATTTAATTAATGGATTTTACATAATTCCTTTTTGTCATCCAAAAAAATTTTTTAAGTTGGATATGAAATATTGCATATTTAAAGTATAATTATATAATATATATGTCATGTGTACAATATTATTATATTGTATACATCACATATATCTTATAAATTATACTTATTTTATTTTTCACAGTAAAAATGGATTTATATACCGTTTACCAACAAATTACATAAGTAATCCTATAAAAATCTAGCAAATTGACTTTTAATAATATTAATATTATTTTTAATTGATGTTCTTAATTATTATAAAACGTCTCTTATTATCAAACAAAAAGTGATCCAAAAGTTTTGCATTCAGCAAAACAAACCTCAATAAAAATCTTATAGAACCATCATCAATTGTCTAACGAAACTAGGTTTATTTGCTTTTTTTATTAATTTTTTTCAGGAGAATGTATTTTTAATACAAAAATTTTTTTTAAATGAGTTTTGTTATTCGCAAGGTACAAAGATTGAACTCCTCCACGTCTCTTCTTTATTGTGCACAATCTTAGGCTCCGCGTAGCTTAATGCTTTTGCCTCGGAATCAATGTATCCGTAGTTCAAACCCCACCTCTGGGCAAGTTTTGCAACATCTATTAGAAAGGAGCGTGAATTTTCAATTAAATTCTTATCCGCGATACTCTGTGATAAGACCGAACACACTTCTTGGGGCACCTAAATAAAATAAAATTAAAAAACACGCAGCCTATCTTTTCTTTAAAGCTTTCGGTAAATATATAAAAGTAAATTATTTAAAAAAAAATTGTATTAAAAAGTTATTTTTTCTTGATTGTAGTTGCCCTTCCCTCCCCTGTTTCCCTCTAAGTTTAAAGTTAATAAATTTATTTAAAAAAATACGTTCAAATCTTTTATGCAATAGAGACTAGATATTGATCAGAATACTTTATATGTCTTACAATCATCTCATCCTTTTTTTTTTTTTTTTGTTATTATTTTTAGGTGCCCCAAGAAGACATAACGGTCTTGTCACAGAGCACCATGGAAGTGCATTTAACCAGGAAGTTAACGCCTCATTCCTTACCGTGACGCGAAAATATGTCCAGAGCTCGTTTCGAACCTGGATCTCCTGCATATAAACGCTCTAACCACTGCGCCACGACCGCAAAACTTAGTTCATAAGAATCATACTGTTTGATCACTTTTTTTTAATTTGTTGTAAAAGATTAAATTGAATTTTTGTATTTTATGCACCGCATTTTTGTATTCATCTGTTAAATTAGAAAGTGTGTTCTATTGAATGGTATATAATTGTGTTGGCGTTTGCATCTTTTGACTAATTCGTCTTGTTTTAACGCATCACTCGGATACACCCACGTGTTGATACAACCTCGTGTTTAACTTTGCATAGCCTTTCATTAATATGACAATGTTTAAAAATGGCTTTTAAAATTAATCTTTAAAGGTGATATTAAGATATAACTCAAAAAAAAGTACAAAAAAGAAGCGTAAATTTGATCGAGGGATATTTTCCAAACAATGTATAAACAGTACATTGTAAAGTTATTTGAAAATTTTTTTGAAAGATTGCTTAATTTTTAATATGAATTTAATTGAATAATTTTATAATGATACTTTAAATTTGTTGATTTCTTTTTGTAATTTTCATTCAAAGAATAAAAGTACTCGAATTCAACCAGTTTTTCGCTTTGCCGACGATTTTAAAAAAACAGCAGCAAGCAAGAAAAACTCAGCAGTAAAAATGGATGATATAAACAAAATGTTGTTTGAGTACGAAAAAACTCTGGATCCAAATCACGCATTTCAGAGAGGTATTTGCACATTTTAAAATTGCACATTGCACATTTTTTTTTACCCATTTTTGTATATATATATATATATATATATATATATATATATATATATATATATATATATATATATATATATATATATATATATATATATATATATATATATATATATATATATATATATATATATATATATATATATATATATATATATATATATATATATACAAAAATTGGTAAAAAAAAATGTGCAATGTGCAATTTTAACTTTTAAATTTTGGTTTGGTTTTTTAACCTTTGAGCTCGTGGTTGTCAAGCAAGAACCTATTTTCGTGACGGCATTTAGATATTATTTCTGTTTCCTTATTTTAACAATTCTTGTGTACCTTTGTATGATATTATGCAAAGTTTTTCATGAAGGCAAAACAAGCATTTTTTTGTTACGTTGTTGTAGGTGGGGACTTGTTTGATTATTGACCAGGTTAATTTGGGTGATATTTTTAAGTTTTCTTTTATCTGCCATATATACTTTATAAGGTTGGTTGAGTTTTTCATCTCTTTGTTTGTTTAATGAGTGTTTGTGGTTAGCCCATCTTTTCTTCCATTCATCTTCTGCTAGGCCAATATATTTTTTTTCTGAAATGATAGTGGGGATACTATACATTTATAAATAACATTAGAAGCTCTACATTTTCCTATTAGTGGGCATATTTTCTATTATAGGGCATATTATATTACAGGACAGTTTTCTTTATTTATGCAATTGCAGGGTGGGTATTCTTTTGGTCTTTCTGAACTGATTTTCTTGTTGTATCTTTTTATTATTCTTTCAATATTTTTGGTGCAGCTGTAACTCACTTTGATGGTGTTTCAATTGAATAGTTTACTTAGGGGGTGGGATGTTGAAAAATGTATGTTGATTAAGTTTAGAAAGATATGTCCGACATTGGTAAAAAAAAAAAAATGCTTTTACTATACGGGGGGTTAAGCCATACTATATTTCTTTTTCTTTTCTTTTTTTCTCTTTTTTAGGGTTTATACTTTAAATTAAATTATCTTAATTCATCTTCGTGTTCTGGTATAGATAAATTAAATATTTTTTCATTTGAGGAATTTTGTGATAGTCTGTCACAAAATTCCTCAATAGAGATCGGGATTTGCTTTATTATTTGCGAAGAAATATTGGAATAAGTGTGAATGTAACGTAGATATTCATTTGGTTTTTTGAAAGGTTGGTAAGAGTTTTTTTCTAAGTTAAAGGATACATCTAAGAAGTTGACTGTGGGTAGGTTTGTTTGGACCTCTATTTTAAAACCGATCATTTTTATAACTCTAATTATGTTTTTCGTATGCTATCAATTTGTGATCCAGTTTTTTTTACAAAGTATCATCAGGCCATCGTCACGATATAGTCCAACGTCTTTTTTATTTATGGATCGGTTTTAAAATAGAGATCCAAACAAATAGTAACAGTTTTGTAATTGTGTTTGAGCGTCACAATGTTTATTAAGAGTATTTTTTAACAAAAAAAACAATGTATTTTTTACTTGATGATTGCAAAACGCACGAAACTTTTAGTAATAAAAATTATGTAGTTGTTTTTATTCAATCTCGTCAAAAAATCAATTATATAGCTCTGATATCATTCATTGAGCACTCTTGCTGAATATATCCTCACAGCAAAGTTAAACTTATTTATATATGTATATAAATTTGCTTAAATCAAAATTTAGACAATACAGAGTATCGATCGAAAAGAAGCTTAGGCTTTGAAACTTCTTACGAAACTCTGGATGATAAGAAGCCAATGACAAAGGATTTCACAACAATGGAATCTTTAAATAATAACAATCAAGGTAAGTTTTAAAGTATAAACTAAAAAATTAGGCATCTTTGATTTGTAAGCGTGCGGGGGTAGTAAAAAGAACTAACAAATATTTAAACCGCTTTTAAAAGGAAGACGTTTATCAAAGTAGACAAGTACAAAAAATACATTTATTTTATTTGTTATAAACAATAACAAACAGAATAAGAACTCTATTATAACAATAGTAACAATAACTATAATAAAATCTATGATTGTAATTAGATAAAACATTCATCACAAATTTTATTATAACGGGTTTTCAAATTTTAAAGTCTTCACTCAAAATAAGCAAAATATATATTGTGTATTTTCTAATTTAAATATTTCTAATATCTGAATATAATTATTTAAATATTTCAAAGTTTTTTTTTTCGCTCTTTCTAAATATTATAAAATAATTTAAAAAAATAGCTGGGGAAAAAAGAAATACATAGTCTATATTATTGTCATGCCCGAAGTGTTTCTGTAAAAGTTATATATCTTTTAAGTTTTAAACTTAAAACTAGTTAACAATCTTCATATTTTACTTTAGAGTTTTGGCGTCCAGCGTTTATAATTCCAACAGACGGTGAAAAAACTATTAATAATAACAAACCTATATGGAGTGAAACAAAAATTCTTCCGACAATGGAATCGTTTAATCGTAATAATCAAAGTATATAATTTATCTTATCTATCAAAGTAGGTAATATACATTACATTATCTTTCGAGGATGCCAAAAGTGTTTTTATGATTTGCAAAGGAACCACAAAAGCTTTGTTCAAGCCGATCTTTATAAACACACAATTCTAAACGGACAAACAATCTTTAAACACGTGTTTTTATAAAATATAATATTTTTCATTTACATCAATATTTCCACTTGTTTAAATTGATGTTTAAGTATAATTGTTAATATTATATATATATATATATATATATATATATATATATATATATATATATATATATATATATATATATATATATATATATATATATATATATATATATATATTATTGTTATTATTATTATTATTATTATTGCTATTATTTCTATTATTATTGCTATTATTATTATGACTTTTTAGAGTTTTGGCGCCCAGCGTTTATGACACCAACAGACGATGAAAAAACTATGAATGATAACAAACGTAGTGAAACAAATTTTTTTCCGACTATGAAACCATTAAATCGTGATAATCAAAGTAGGTCTACAAATATTTTTTGATGATGTCATAAGTGTTTCTATGGTTTCCAGAGATGGCTTAAAACATTAAGGGAAACACTTATGGACAAACAACTCTTAATCTAAAATGAATAAAAATTAACTTTTAAATACGCGTTTTGTAAAATGCACAATGCTTTGAGTTGATACAAATTTTTTCCTTGTTTTAATTAAGACCCAGTTCAAATTCTATTACTAATATATTATTTTCATATATTTATATAACTATTATTGTTTAGGATTTTGGCGTCCTGTTTTCATGGCTCCAACAGACGGTGAAAAAACTATTAATAATGACAAACCTATGTGGAGTGAAACAAAAGTTCTTCCAAAATTGGAAGCATTAAATAGCGGTAATCAAAATAGGTGCTATACAATTATTTTTTAAAAATGTGAAAAGTAATACAAGGATTTTCAAAATTTGCTTCCAAAGCCTAGCTTCTTCTTCTTTTTCTTCTTCTTCTTCGAGACAAACAACTTCAAAAAAACAATTAATCTTTACACATCAATTTTTGATTTAAGTTATAACCGAAGTTTATAATTATTACTCGTATATAATTTTTATATACTTTCATTACAACTAATGTTTAGATTTATGGAATCCATCGTATATGACGTCAGACTATAATGAAAATACTGTTACTTATATTAAGCCTAAGTTGAGTGAAACCTCTTTTGAAACTCTTGGTATTAATCAAGGTAGGTATTATTAAATTATTTTTGAACACTGCCAAATATATTGCTATTGTTTCTAGGGGCAACTGAAAAAAATTTTTTTTGCATAAGTTCAAGAAAACTTGCGTAGATAAAAAAACTGGCAAAAAAAAGTAAAACAAGACATTGTTTATCTTCAATTTAACTACTTAAACAGAGACGAAAAAATACTTATACTAGTAGATTTCGGTCTCTATTTTTTATAACTTTTTTTTTTTTCCTTTTTGAATCAGCTGTTCTTTTTTATTAGTTCGTTTTTATGCAGATTTTCGCTCCAGCAAGTTTTTTTTTCTATGTTAAGATAATCATTCAACGCGAATGCACCATTATAAGTTCATGCAGGCATTGTACTAGGCAAGATGTAGGTACAAACACTTTTACAATGTGTTCGCACCTGTCTGTTTTCAGTTTAAAAAAACTCACTGTTTGGCAGCTGTTCTAAAAAAATTCAATCGTCTAAATTTTTATCTTCGGAATTGTTTACATACTTACCTTCCCAAGATCGAATAACAACATTAATCAAGATGCTACTCTTTCAATTGAGAAGAAAACTATCGAGAGGGTTACTCATTATTTATTTGATTATATGAGTTGCCTCCTCAACTAACTCCAACTAAATACTTCTAAAATTAAAACCTTTATAAAAAGCTTTTGCGCTGAGAAATAAGTTGTGAGCAGTACTAGTTAGTCACTGTTAATGGACTGGTTAGAGACGTGCTTTACCAACACTTCGTTTGCAAGCGTGATTTTATATGTAAACTCCTTAATTTTACCATGGTTTTTACTACGATTTCACTTTGTGTTGTAATAGCATTTTTTTGTTAACTTCTTTATTTAACATTATATATAATTTTAGAAACCGACGCTTACTTTCCTTACAACAAATACAAAAACAATAAATTTATTTATGGCGATGTTTTTGGAAAAAATATGCAGCCTACACTGGAAGTCAATAAGTTGCCTATTGAACCTAACAGCAAAAGTAAAAAAGTAATTGATGACGAATACACCCCAAGCGGATATTTCAATCATCCAAGCGGACAACATACTCAAATGAGAGAAAAACGGTCCACCAAGTTTGTCACAAAAAGTAAAATAAACAAGCGTCAAAAAGTTATTTAAAAAACAACAATGACGAAAATAAACTCTTTTTTTTTATTTTTTAATTCCGAAAAGGTTTTTTTTATTTGTATATATATCTGTAAAATGTTTTAGTTTTTAAATATTTAAGTAAAACGTTAACTAATATTTTTTTTCTTAATAAGTTTTGTTTAGTTGAGGTTTAAATAATTCAGATAAAAATTGGGGAAAAAAGAGTTCCGTAAAGCAATTGTATTTAAAAATGAACCTAAAAATTGAATCTTTTGTCCTTTTGCGTTTAACCTGCAAAGAAAGAAAATTTTTAGATTTTGAAAGCCTTAGTTTAAAAAAAAAAAACCCATTCCTAAGCTATACGCAATGTTGGGTGGCTTAATCTCTACATGGTTTAGTAAAATCAACCTAAAGAAAGTAAGCTTAACCCTATTTACCCTATATTAAAAAATTACTTATAATAACGTATAAAATCTAAACAAGATCATATTATGGCTTACTCATGGCGTACTTTATAACACGCTTATTCACCATGCAGATGAATAAGCGTGTATAATGTACGCCATGAGTAAGCCATAATATGATCTTGTGGAAAATCTTTGGATCTAATGGATCATCTAATCTTGTTATCTTGTGAAATGGATCTTGTGAAAGCGCGGATGAATAAGCGGAGGAAGAAATAAAAGTTTAGTTGGAAATTATACCCAGAGGCAATATACCAAATATTAAAGATAGCGTTGTTTGTAAATGGCACTGACCTTTACACAGTTGTTCAAAATAGGAAATAATTACTTCGGTTTGACCCGAGAATACCACCTGTCCTGGGTGAATCTACATGGTCCACAGATTCAAAAGATATAAATATTGAAATCTAGTTACAACGTCCGAGCGAAAAAAATCACTTTGAATTTTTTACCGTTTTTGCACATGCTCATGAGAGACAGCATTCACAAAATTGTGAATTTTTACAGCATACAAAATTAGTTGAGCAGAAAACAACGGGTATTGATGATAGATTTTTTCAAATTATATTTTGTAAATTATAAGTTTATAAAAATATATTAACATAGAACCAGCAATATTTATTCTTTTTGTTATGTTTAGCATCATCTTGTTATAATGATTGTGCCTACCATCTTAATGATCATTAAAACTGAAGAACCCTATTTTGACATCCACAAACGTTTGTTTTTGTTTTGTTTTACTAAAAAAACGGAAAAAATCATTCAAGGACTTCAAAAGTTGAAAAAATCATTCTTTGACTTTATAAGTAGAAAACAAAGTATTATTGCCTTAAAAGATCAAAGGTAAGATTTATTTGAATTGTTTTTCCATGCATTGAAAAAAATTTGCACAAATTTTGAACATATGAACAATAAACTGAATAATATATCACTTCAAGATAATCATTTAATGATCTGAAATCAATAATACTCAAAGTAAATACCAAAAATAGTCATTAGAAATTTGTGTAATTAATATTTGATATTGTTTTAAAGTTTTTTTCACATTCTCTGCACTTTTATGTAAAACAAACTTTATTTTATGGTGTACTTGCTACTTTTCAGTAAACAATACTCCTATTTGAAATGATATCTTTCTGATATTTTAGTGAACATTAACTATGCCTAACCAAGCTAAAGATCATGATGCAAATCGAAAAACTGTTTGCTTGCTGTGTTTTCAAAAAGCAACACGTCAAATTACAACCTTTCAAGAAGAAAGAATTTGTCAGATTTACCAACATCAGATAAACTACCAAGACCCACGTATTCCCCAAGGATTGTGTGAAGCTTACCATTCAATCTTGAGACGAAAAGATGAAGGAAAAGATGTCAGTCTTCCTGACCTGTTTGATTTCTTGACAATCTACATGAAACCAGAAACCAGAACAGCTGGTCAAGAATGCTCATGCCTAATTTGTCACATAGGAAGTTTGAGGCACAATCAAATCCTATGGTCAACCATGAAGCGCAAGCAAGAGTTCCTCTGCGTTGTACAACATGTCTTAGTCCTATTGGAAAAGGACTGCCAGTGCAATAGGTTCACATTCCGCGAAAACTTGAAATAGTTGGCCAGTGCTGATCTCAGCGCTTCTGAACAGGTTGCTTTGAATGTAATTGCTTCCAAAGATGTCTCTCCAAAAGCAACCATTAGGCTAGCTCAACCAGGTGGGGGTCGCCCTTACCCTATCACCCTAGGTAATAAAACCTAAAGTGAAATATTTAAATTATCATCGCTTTCTTTTCAACCAATTAAATATTTATTCTTTATTGACAGGCCCAAGTTAAGTGAGTTCAGTTGCTTCGTCTGGTAATACAAGTCTTACAACAAATGATCTTGTAAAAGTTCAACTCAATACTGGCTTGTCAAATCATGGAGTAAAGAAACTAGCAATGACGTTGAACCAGATATCTGCTTAGAAGTTATGTGGCTTGTTTACATTTTGGAATATCCAAATTTTAATTTTGGTAACAATATATTTGTAAGGGCACCTTTAGTTAGTCTATTTCGCCGTTAAAAATATTTACAATGTACAACAATATGAAAAAGTACAATTAGCTAGAGCAAGAAGAACTCTTAAATTTGCCTTATATCACCGAGCTCCAATAGCAACGATTATATATACGCTTGTATATCCGTATATATATAAACAACAGTATTTAAAAAAAGACAATTTTAAGATGTTAAGAAACAAAAAAAGTAATAAAATAATTAAAAAAAAAAAATCTATTAAATTATAGTAATAAAAATGACAAAATTTTCCGTTTTTGGTTAATTATATTGTATTTCAATATATATATTCTAAATATATATATTTTTTCAAAACTAAAGTAATAAAATTTCTGTTGCAATATCATTTGTTTAATTTTTTTTTCAGTTTAATCCCATGTTTTTTTTTTCATTTTCTCAGCTTCAATTCTAATATTGTTTCTTCTATTCCTATCTTCTAGTTTTCTCTTTTTTTTCTTTTGAGTTTACGTATTTCAGATACTAATTATATATGCATATATTACATTTGTATATTTTGATGAGAAAGTGCTACACCAGGCACTTCCATGCTGAAAAAAAAAGACACTCGTGTGTCTGATCTTTATTGAACATCAATTTGTAAAAACTATCTTTGAACGAGTTTTTTACCATTTTACGTTCAAGTCAAATGGTAAAAAACTTAGACTTGATGGTTCTCAAAAATGATTTGATCAATACGTTTTGAAAGTTTAAAATATTGAATCAGATCACCTCGAACTCTGTTTTCTTTAATTGTGGTTAAGCCAAGATTGCGTATTTTTTAAGTGTGGTTAAGCCAAGATTGCGGATCTTTCTTTATGCTAAGGCTTTATTTCCGTGATTGTTTTAGTGGCTTTATGCTGCACTTGCTCTAGAATAGCAATGTCTTTTTCCTTTTGTGTGATTGAGGTGATTTTAACTGGGGTCTTATATAGGTTTTGTAGAGTACTTTCCACAAAAAGAGTCCACTACTTCTAAATGTTTTTTTTAGTCTACCAAGTTTACTGTTGGCTCTTGCTGCTGCTTATTCGACTTGATAGCTTACTTTAAGATCGTCAGATATAAGTTCTTCTACATCATGATTGTGTTTAGTGACGTCCAATTGAATTCTGTTTCCACTCAAGTCAAACATCGAATAACTTTGAATAGATTTGGAGTTACCATGCCCAACGTGCATAACTTTACACTTATCAAAGTTGATAGGCATATTCCATTTATGCTACCAATTTACTAAGTTATCTATGTCAACTTTCAAGGTTCTTTTGTCCTCCTCAGATTTTTGAACTACGAGTATTTTGCAATCGTCGGTATAAATCTTTATAGCCCGGCAGATCGTTTATACATATGATAAAAAGAAGAGGACCAAGCACATAGCTTTTGGCTTGTTACATATTTTCATTTAGATTTATGCTTGCCAACTACAACTTGTTGATAACGATTTGTTTGCCAGTTTGCTATCCAGTCCAAGACCAAGCCGTTTATACCATAGGCTTTAAGTTTATGTATAAGTCTGACGTGTGGAACTTTATCGGGTGGACACGGAAAAATCCGGCCAACTTTAAATTGAGACTACTCTAAAACCATAGATGCTTTTTATTTAAATTTTTTTATTATTAAGTGTGTTTACATCAATTAGAGTTTCAACTTTAAGGGGCTTGATGAGCTGTTTGGAAATAGATCAAATTTTATAGCGAGTTAATGCCATCATTTTGCAGAGTTTTTCTTTTTTCACCTTGTTGGTGGCATTAATCCACATTTTTTGGAAGTCCTTTTTATTTTTTGTTACTAAACCTGTTTTAAGAACTATTCTATCTATTGCCAAAAAATCTTCTATCTTGCGCTCTTCAGGACGATTTGGAGGGTTCGCATCTTCAGAAAATATTTTCACATTATCATGTTTGCACCACTGTAAAACTTTTTTAGAATAGTGAGAAGCAGCAAGGTCTGGCCAAAGAGACATTGGTATTTGTGTTTTTTCAAAATGGGTATTGATGTTAATGAGACTGGTCTGTAATTGGCACGATCCTGCTTGTTGCCTAGTTTATGAAGTGGGGTGACATTTAATCTTTTCCAGAGCCCTGGAACCAGTGAGTTGCAAATTCATTTTCTGTAAATCACAGATAATGGAATTACGAATGCTGAGATGCAGTTGCGTAATACTCGGGGATGTGTATCGTCGTATTCTTTTGATTTGGTTTCAATTTTTCTTTTTAGTTTTTCTTAAACCGAATTCGCCGATGATTCACGTTTATATTGCAAGTTGTGCACACAGAATGAAAGTAATCGTTTAGAATATCTGAAATTACAGCACTATCGGTTACTATGTTTTTATAGTCATCTTCGAGAGCTTGAAGTAAGTTATTAGTTTTTTCTTTTTGTTTGATGTGGTCATAAATTTTCTTTGGATCATTTTTAAAAACACTAGCTAACTGATGTTCCTATCTTTGAGTAACTATTTTTATTACCTCTAAAACATGGTTACAAGCTGTTTTATGCTTACTCCTGAGTGTTTTTATACGGCTTTGATTGAAGAAATTATTTT